TTATTTCCATGAACCTTATCAACTCACCTATTAGAAAACCGAAAGACACACATGCTAAGTGAGTCACAAATTACCTGGAACCACTGGTCCCATTCACGTGTCGTTTGTATGAGAAAGTAGTGAGGAGTATTTTTCACAGAATGGGCTATTTAATGTGAAGTCAGTCAGACAGATGACACCATATATATGTTAAATATGTAGATTATGACTGAAGGAAAAAGAAAAATGAGAAACATGCCTAAAATTCTACTCTGCTTCCCAAATTTTGTGGCTTTGGTTCAATGCTAACGGACATCATGAGAAAGAGTCTTAGTCCTGCAATTTTGTTTTTAAATAAATGTTTATCTGGAAGTAGAAGAGCAGTCGCACTACAGCATCTGAGGAACTCATCCTCACATAACTGGGTCTGCAATATGAAGACTACATTAGCAGAAAAGGAAGTCCTGTTCTTAGAATTTAAGTAATAGGCTATTACAAATCTCTTGCCATCTCCTCATCTAAAGTGATACAGTTCTGAAACCTGAACAATCTCCCACCTTTTATTTTGACACAAGACTGCACAATTTGGAATCTGGAGACATACTAGATTTTATCCCTCATACAACCTGTAACCAATGGCCAAATGAAGAAATCTGAAGAATCATTATGGGAAAGCCTCACTAAACTTTACTCTAACTTTATATGTTTTCCTGAACATTAACAGGTGCATTTTATTCCTGAAATCCCAACCACCATCACTGGGTTTTACTAGATATTTCACACAGGTGTCAAGTAGGGTCCCCTAGGAGAGTCAGCAAAGACACTGCCAAACCACAGCCCACAAATGCTTCCAAATACACATCTTGAAAGGCATTAAAAAATCCGCAAAACTTGCTTATCTGGTGGTTATGCCCAATTCTTAATTTTTTGCTTCCTTTGGGATGGACTAACACTTATGCCAATCAAACATTTCTCAATTGACACATCAGTTTATGGAAATTGCTGCTCCCCAAAATTACTCTGTAAAAGTGTGAGGAAGGAGGTGGGGAAAGAAGACATCTGTGCTCAAACAGGTGTACTGAAAAAGGCAGTGTAACTAAGTCCCTTTATCTCTTAGACACTTACTCAAAAGGACAAGTTTCTGGTTACTTTAAATTCACAACTGCAAAATGGTGTTGTATGATCTGAACACAAAGCTGTATGGTGCACATCACACACTCAAACACATTACAGATGGGACTGCTTTAATGTAACATTATTTGAAAACATACACCCTAAAAAAGAACCTACAGTACCTGGCATATAGTTCTACAAGCTTCTTGCTAAAGAACATATTTTATCAAAATAAAGATGAATGAGATCCCAAAATATTCATCAGGTGATTTTCCGACAATAGAATCTTTTACATGGTACGTCAAAAGTTCTCTCTTTGAGGCACAAACAAATGCAGACACTAGGATTTTATAAGAGTGAAGAAAATGTTTTCCACAACATAATTGTATCTAGAGCTTCTTCCAGGCTATTCCAAATCACTCTGTGCAAGCATTTTGGTAACTAATCAAATATATGAAAGCAAACAGCACAGTGAAGAAAATTAGAAATAAAAACGAGAGTGTTTAAACCTAGTAGACCAATTTTCAACATATGGAAGGACTGGAAATTCTCCCATTAAATTAGTTAGTAAAGCCAAAAATCAGTAGCACAGGCTAACCTACACCAAAAAAAATGCGCTAACCATTGAAAAATGTACCATGTAAATTAGATATGGGAAAAATAGTAATGGGAAAATGTCATATACTATCATTACACAAAAATGCTTTTTTTGCAAGAATAAGCCTTAGGTCCAGTTTTGTTTACACTTTCAATAAATGTATGTGTCAGATTCACAAAAATTACCAATTACATTGAACCAGAAAGAACTGCATATAAAAGGGGGAAAATGAAAATAATTTAGTACCCTCAGAGATCAGAAGTTCAAAGCTTATAAAACCCAGGATAATAATGAAACAGGAATTAAGTATCTAGCTGCAAAAGAATCATAAGAACATAAGGAAAGTGAAGAAGAAATTTGAGAAGCAACAATGCTGAAAGTTATTTAAAACAGTTGTTAGAAAAAAAAATATGATTTGGGTTTGTGAGACACTAGCCAGAAGACCAAAAGTTTGGTCTTCCTACACAAAAGCACCAGAGGAAAAAACAAACAAAACCCACACTTAACAGATAACCTACAGACTAAGTCCAATAAATCATGCATGTGGAATGGCATTGTGGGCACCAAGATACAGAGAGCTGAGCTAAAAAGGTGAAAGCAAGAAAAAGCTGGAGAAAAGACTAAAAAACCGTTTGAAGAAAGTGGAAAGGAATGGAAATATACTGCTAGAACCAGTGCGTGCATGCAGGTTCCAAATTACAAAGACAATGAGGAATATGTAAAATGGCACAAAACATGGCTTGGAATACTGTCATGAAGTTGAAAAACAGAACTACTGAACATCATGTAAATCCTCCCATCAGTGAGATCTAATCATTGAAATATTCTTCAAAAGGAAGCCTAATTGTTTAGAACATAGATAAAGCCTCACTGGCCAAGACAATGTTAAAACGCACAAGTCTACAACCCTGCTTTAGCAAGCAGATGGACTAGATAACCTAAATAGCTTTTTCATCCCTAACTCCTATGATGATGGTCAGATCTGACAGGCTCATGCACAATACCCTGCAGTCCTACAAGTATGTGAGCAAGTACAGTAAAAAGACATTGACATCAATTATGAAGACCAGCACAAAAATATATATACTCCACAACCTCTTTGTAAGGCTACATTTGTTTTGTTTTGTTTTTTTAAAGGCACCTCATCCTCTAGCTATTGCCAGCTTTTAAAAAAAATCACTTTTCATTTTGAGCAAGAGCTCAATAGTGAGAAGGAAACATCTTTCAATTCACATTTGAACAGCCACTTCTTACATTCCAATTGTAATCAGAATGACAGTCTTTAAAAACAAGCATGCCGGCCTATTAGTTTTATGTACAGCAATTTAAACAACTGTAACTACATATTGTATTGTGTAAGCAAAAGCACAACATTCATTTCATACTCACACCATTATCTTTTGTATACACAAACTCAAGAGAACTCTTAATACTAAAACATTAAAATGCACCCATGGAGTCTTCCCTTACTAGACACATTTAATACATGTTTACAATATATATATACACATATATAATATACATAACTTTCAGACTTTTTCAAATAAATCTTTGTAATTTCCTCTTCAAAAAGAAATAAAATAATGACACTGAAAGAATATGAGTCAAGTACACAGAACTCTCACAAAGTTGAATGCTCAGTTTTGCAGCCAAGTTTCCCCCTTTCCATCATAACCAAAACACTTTATAAAAACTAAATAATCTGAATTACTATTGTAGTCACCTTTTTCACGGTAGAAGTTCTAATCTTATCAATGAAAATATATTGCATATCAATATAATGAAGTGACATATGTGAATATTCTGAGCAATAAAAAGTATTCCAGGATATTTTAGCAGTAAATATAACGTGTTGCAGGCTCAAACAGCACAGGTCAACTTTTTATTCTAAATAATACAGTTGATTTAAACTCCGAGATCAGCTTCAAATGTGGTCCCATCCCCAAATGCCACTCTAAAACCAACACAGTCAAACCCTATGTTGATATCTTCAACAATTCCTTTTTAAAAATTGTCAGTTTAAAGGTTAAAATTTATTTATCAGTTTCCAGTCTTAACCTCAAGCTGGTAGGTGGAAGAATTGCATTGGGTTCTTTCCTACCTCACATCAACACCAGCAATGATCTCCAGCAGAAATTCTGCCTTCCATTCATTCCCATTAAAGGAAAACACCAACTTTGGGCTTATGAGCACTAATACTCATGATGACATGTAATGGAAAGGAATCCACTCACCGTCCTTTAGAAGTGATAAAAAGACTAAAAGAACGGATTAAAAGTTCTTTGTCATTCAAATCAACAGGGAAGCTCTGGATACATAAACAAAGCACATCTGTTGAGTAATCACAAGCAGCACTCATTCTGCAGGTAACCTCATCAAGGGCACAATATGCCCAGTGAACCAGACAAGTTTAAGAGTTCCTCAAATGGTGAAGCTGGGAAATACCTCTAAAAGTAGCAGAATCTCTGAAACTGATGGAACTTTGTGTAGTTCTCACCTACTGCACTAGCAGGACTCACACAAAGCATCAGGTATAGGTTTAATCTTCAAAAGAAGTATTTTACTGTTATCCATAATGCCCAGAGCGATACCCTTTTTAGCAAGAACAGAAAGAGGAGATGAATGTTTGATAGTTAAATTGTAGGACAGCTTCTTTGGAAGGTTTTGTGATAATTTCTTGTGTCAGATCTCCAAGAATAAACAGCGTTATAAATCTGAATAAGTTAAATCTGCTACTACAGTATATACAGACTGCTTCAGTCTGTTGTTAATTGGGACTAGACTAAAGGCTCAGCTTCGAGCCACACACTAATAGTCTTTAAAAAATTATATAATTTTTTTTGCAAACTAAATATTTACTGTATAACACAGAAGATGTAACAAAAACTTTACTGCATTTTAATTTATGTTAGTAATTCGCTTTCCTTTAATTGCATTTATCTTAGGCTAGCAGCCAGGTGGCTGAGATTAACTATCTGCTACTGCTCTCTGAACAACATCTACTTTATTAATACCAAAGGGATGACAAAGTGCCTCTTGCATGACACAGTAATGAGCATGTGCCGACACTTTTTTCCAGGTGATTTAATTTTAAGTACATTAAGATTCCTCAATGAGAAGCATCCTAAGAAGTTTCCCTCTTTTCCTACTCCCTGATGCAATTAGACCCCTTTTTTCCAGTACTCCATTTTATTAATAGAGAATACATAGGTCCACTTTCACCCAAGGCCTGCCTGGACGAAAATTCACACCCTCTGAAATAAAAGCATTTATTTTGTTTTTGTTTTTTTTTCTCTCTCTCTTTTTTTTTAACTATTTGAAACTGAGAGTTTCCAAGCTCTCAGCACCAGCTGAGCTCACAGAAACCAGAACAAACATCAATTTAGAAAACAGCACCCTGCAAAACTAAACACTTACAAACATTCTCTGAATTATAGGGCAAGATAAGAAGAATCATGCCCTCCTCTTCTCTTTTGTGCAGCTGGTTAAATATATACACAGCTAGAGTTGAAAGGGAAGCACTCCGTCATACAAACACTTTAGCCAGGGCATCTGCTCCTGCACTGGCAATATAACATTTGGAGGGGTGGAATGCCACATCATGAATAGATTCATCAAATTTTTTGCGGTGAGCAGTAAATTCTTGGATGCAGGTCTTGCTTTCAAGATTCCACAAGCGAATTGAACAGTCATGACCTAAAGAAAGAGGAAACGGTTTTCTTTATAATTCTCATGTCTGTCACATCATTTTGAGAGTAGAAAATGGAATATGAATGTACTTACTGCCAGACATCAAATACAAGCCATTAGGATCAACTGCTAAACTTGTAACTGCATCTAAGTGAGCTACCATGGAGTGGATCAGTTTTCCTTTGAAAGAAAAGATTTTTTTAAGGTTATTTTCTGCAATTCACTTTGCTATCTGTATTCTCTGCTTAAACCACACCCCAGTTCATACTATAAATACAAGATCCTGTCCCATGATTGGATCATTAAATATGCAAGAATTCACTCTTTTAATGTTTACAGTCTCAGGAGAGCCACAGTACCAACATCACCAACTTTGAGACCTTTGTTTTATGTCTGTAAAACCAGTGTGAAACTGCAATCACTGTACATTTTAAATATCTGCCCCCTAAGTGAATTAAGCAAGTTCAGGAGTAAGATCCCAAGTTGGAAGAAGGATAGGGGCTGAGTATACTAATAAGCAATGAAAATAAACAATATAAGAATATGGGATAATTTTGGTCAACTCTGAGAATTAATGTTCTGTTACAGCTTATTATAATTACAGTAATGACCTCATGTTAAAAATAAGAACTCATGGGTCAAATGTGGGTTTTATTGTTGCAGAAGATAATAAAACAGAAAAAAAAAGAGCAGTTGTTTCCTCTACTGTTTATTACAAAACTATATCACCAAACAACTCAGCTACTTTCAGGCTTTTCCTCAGCTTCCATTAGGTCCTTTCACCTCTTTTTTAACACACATCTAGGGAGTAGCAAACTTAAAATCAACATGAATTGAAAGATCTCAATTTAACTTTTAAGACAGTGTGATCTGGAAGCAACGAAGTCACAAACCAAAGATTATCAAGACTCACAGTCAGACTATCAGATTAATACTATCATTCCTATCAAAATGTCCTTCAGTTCAAAATAACACAGACAACACAACAGAAGAAACATGAACATAAGCACAGAACGATTTTTTACAAGCTTCCTTTTATGTTAATATTGATAACCCCCATACATAAGGCATATTAAAAGAATGGACAAAGAATTATGCAGGTTCCTTATCACTATGCCAATGAAGTTTCAAGTGGGCTGGCAATTTCTGAGCTCTAATGGTGATGAGACATTTCTGTTTCAGAGGATATCCAACACTTGACATCTCTCAGCAATTATGTGAATAATATTAATCATAACGGCATTTTGTTTATGTTATACAACCACTATGACTAGTGCCTGCTGGAAAGACACATACCTGTATTGTTGTCGTAGAATTTGATGTGTCTGTCTTCATGAGCCGTGATACTAATTGGAAGAGTTGGATGGCTGATGACTCTGTTTATCTGACAGGAGGAACTGACTGCTAAACGAAAAAAACACACGTATCAATACAGTTAAACGGCTACATTCTTTGAAGGATTGCTACTAAGAAATAAATATGTAACCAATTTCATCTGCAAAATAATTTTAGCTTTATATAATTGAAACTCTCAGCTAGCACCTGAGTGGTTTAGTCTAAGGTAGTTTCCAAATTACTCACACACAGAGGCATGCATAAACCATATGTATGAGCGTAAATACAAAGAAGGACCAGCTTTGGGCCATGATTTTAGATGGCCACATCAGGCAAGAATGCAAAGCCAAAAAACTGAGTTAAAACACCTTTTTAGTACTTCCCCACCTCCACATTCCTTCCCTTGTCAAGCCAGACTTTCTTCGTAACATATAGACAGTGCAGGAAAATTAACACTGCAGGATGTTACCACAAAAACACAAGTAGCCACTCCACAGAACATCACAATTGACTATATTTAGTTAAACTGTTGCCAAAGAACACTCACATTCTTACTAAAATAAACAAAAAATAGAAATTACGATGAGATCACTTGCTACTAGGGGGGTAATTTACATCTCTCTATAAAAATCTGAACTGTCAACTAGTGTCAGCATCCACAGGATGCTTACGGATTATGAAAGAAAAAACCCCAGTCATATATATTAATAAACCTCACTAAAATTACTAGAAGCACATGAGACTGCATCAGAGCCAGCTATCCTCAGTTTTAAAATGCCAAGCAGAGTGAGGCTTATACTGAACAGCGGAGTCCCTAAATGTGGTAGTAGGGCATTTCAGGTGACTCCTTTCCCTTCTGCCTAGTTCTTACAGAAATAATTATATCTTTTTTTAAATATATGTAAGCTTCATAGTGCTGTTACATAACTAAAGATAGTAAATGGGGACTGCTACATGCAACACCGCAGTCTTGTTTTCTTAAAGGAATATTACTGAATTACAGTAAGAGGAGGTGGTGAAAAAAAAATAGAAGAAAAATAAAAGAACAGTAACTTCTACAGATTAGAGGCAACTCATTTAGGAGTTGGTTTTTAGACAGGAACAAAAATGTGGGTTAAAAAAAGAAATCCTACACAGTAACGAATAATACAAAGAAGAGATATGACACTTTCCATTCCCTCTTATTAAATGACAATCAGTTAACAGTTTTAAAACAGGAATGCAAAGCTGACAAGAAGGGCTTACTCCCTTTAAAAAATATAACTAAATAGTAGAATGCAGTGACATAAAACTTTTAGGGAAAATAAAAAACCCAAAATTGTAAAAGGCACCGAATGTTCATATTGCTATTAGGTTTCTATCTTGGCCTGAATATGAAACCTCATCCTGGTGTCTTTCCTAATGCCATAGTAAAATAATTTACTGACAGCAGACTCCTGACAGCTTCCTCCAAAACTTCTGATACTGGCCACTGCCATGATTCAAGGCCTTATATGGGACCTTGTGAATACACTTACACTGGAACTTTACTTTTCTCCTACAGTGAAAACTTCAACTGCAAAGAGCCAAGAGCGTATATAAAAAAAACCCACAAACTTAGAAAAGGGACACCCTTGAGGAAAAATAAGAAAAGAATCCATGCATACATACTCCCAAACTTTTAACAAATTCAGCTTCAGATTTTCCTGACGTTACCTCTATCTTGCAATTTTGGACTGAGAAGAGAATGAAAATCTTGAAGCTGCAAAGATCACTGGGCTGTATTAACAAAATCTGTGCTTTTCCTTGTGCTACTGTTCCTTAAAGAGGAATTCAGATAGCGTGGGCTTGTTTCTTCTACCTTCTTTCAAAAGTATGTGCACTCTTCTGCTACTGAAATACCCACAAGGTCTGCTGTAGTAGTAATAATTTACTGTTACAACTCAAAACACAGCTTGTCGCACAATTCATGCTATAATTCATCATGACACTGCCTATATGAAAAGACTATCAACTGTATCGATCTTGAACAAGCAATTTTTTGATTTAGGGTTGTTTTTTTTTGATACATACTAGTATCCACACTGGACTCCAAGGTAAGAATTCGCTGTCGTGTCTCCATGTTAAAAATGCTAGTGTGTCCACTGTTAAATGAAGCTACCATGAGGCTTGGGTCACTGCTCACAAGATCTACTGACGAAGGGATTCCCATTTCTGGAAAACAATGTAAAGAACATTTTCATAAGATTTAGCTGGTATAAAGAAAACAAAGCAGAAAAAAAACCACCAGCCAACAAACAAAAAACCCAACCAGTAATATCAAAAGGGTCATGATTATGAAACGAAATATTACATTTTAAAATCTACATTATGCCAATCTGAATAGATTGTCCTACGTGATCACTGGTTGAATCCTATTTTTCTGATATGTGTATCAACAACATTCTTTACTAGGATGCTGAAGGATTTCTATTCAGTAGCCAAAACTATTGCAGTCTGAACAGTACTGCTCATGAACTTTAAGGTAGGGCAATTTTTTTATACCTTGATTATCATTAAATATATTGAGAGCTGGAGTAATTTCTGTAGCTTTCCATAGACGTATGGTGCCGTCTGCTGAACAGGACAGCAAACGCTGGTGTGCTCCACTGTAAACCAGACCCCACACTGCATCTGTATGGCCTACAAAAGCTCCTCGTAGAACAGAGGGATCTGTGAACAGAACAAAACAAACCACATTTCAAAACAATATTTGAATTCTGTGTTTATGTACCAACAGTAAGAAACAAGCCAATGAAAAACCCAAGACCAATCAGGTCATGTCAATATAGAAGTCTCAGTTATTCTTGTATGAAGATGCTTGAACTTCATCAGCAGACATGGCATTCAGTTATCCAGTTTACAACTTATGTTTCAGCAGAAGGGACAGTATCACAGTTGACAAAACACACTGATTTTGAAATTCACCCTCAAACAACCATTAGAAGTACATCAGCCCCTTTTTTCCAAAAGCCAACTGCATCTGAATCTATGAGAAGTGAAAAATGTTTTAACACACAGACACAAAGCTGACATCCATTAAAATCTGGTGAATCTTACCAAACTGGGCCTTTTTAGCTGTTTGCAGACAACATTAACAGCTTTGGTCTCAGACTATACAACCTCTTTTTATCTCAACTCCACAGAGATTAGAAAAGAACATTAAAATACACATTTGCTGTACTTGCCAAGCACCAGGTTTAGTCCTGTACTTTTTCAACTCAGATGTTTCTCAAAATTGTGATGAGATCAAGGCCTTTTTTAAGAAAATGACAGATTTTTATCTTCTCATCAACCAGCATCAGTATTAAAACAAAAAAATACTTAAAGTAATTGAAGCCAATATTCAATTCCCTCTTTTAAATTTTCAAAGAAGCATTACCTACAAAATCACACTATTTTAGCCATATAACATTAATGTCACTAAACATATCATTTCACTGGTGTGTGTGGCAGCAACGTACCGTAAGAGTCATAGGGATCGATGTTTGGGTTGGTTGTATTCCAGCCATGGATGAGGCCATCTGTTCCCCCACTGTAACACTGCTCCCCATTACTGCTCATCACCACACAGAGCACTGGTCCACTGGAAGAACCCCGCCCCAAAGAAATGTTGACTATTAACATTTTCTTTTTATGAAAAATAATGTCAAAAGAATCCTCAAATTTCCCTGTTAGATAAAATTCACTTGACGTACAGACGGCAACAAAAATTCTGATCCTGTGCTACACCACTTCCCACAAAAAACACCTCTGCAATATTTGGTAATGTAACTACAATCAGGACAATTTAATCATTATTCACATGAAATAGAAAAGTGTCATACTTCTAAAGTATAGGCTTTGTTATTTTGTATAAACAGCTGTTTTTTCCCCTTTTTAAACATCTAAGGGTCTTTCATGAAACTGATTCAGTAGATTTTAATTCACTGCAAACAGCTTCATTCTACAGATGCACATATCTGACAAGAGGTAAAAGCTGCGATGAAAAACAGAACACATAATCAAATTTGAACTATGTAATTTATAGATTTTTCTTTTTAAAACTGTGGTGTACCTAGTTCCAGACATAAATAATTATGCAGAAAGGAGGTGAACATATGCAGATATTTTAAGAAACACGGGAACTAAAAGCATCACATGAAATCACTAGTTGACAAGGTGGAAATTAGTTTTAAAAAACTTCTATGTCTACTTAAAAAATCATATATTTCTCAAAATATGACAATGTTTCTCAGGAAATACTCACTTATGTGCTCTGAAGGTATATATTGGCTCTACATCAAGAGACGCACTCCTAAATGAAGTACAAGAAAAAGTTAACATGTATATGACCTTAAACAATGATTTACAAAAATGTGCCAGAATTGCTCAAAATCACTGCTATGTCTTTCTGAAGTGTTTCTCTCACAACTTCCTCTCCCAACATGATTTTTCAAACTTCTAGGAATTCTTTGCATTCTTTCAAAAATATTATAGGATTTGTTGGTTTGGTTTGGGTTTCTTTGTTTAAAGACTTTCAAGGTAGAGAGGCCACAAACTCTCACACACCAATCAAACCAGTAGGTAGGTACATGAATGGTGGGAAAGGAATGGAGTGCCATCAGTATCACATGGAATATATCATTAAGTGTTCCAAATCCCTACCAGAGGAAAGGGGCTTATGACACCTTGTTTTTATACCAATGCTGTAGCCCAGTTGCAAACCACTGAAAAAACTGCTGCGCTGAACTTTACCAATCAGGTGCTTGTTACAGACTGCAGGAAGCCCACATGCTTTGTCTAGTCCTTCTAACAGGTATATTATATATAT